CCCCAAAACCCCAAAACCCCAAAACCCCATACTGAATGAATTACTAAAATTGTTTGGGATATAATTTTAAACTAGAATAAATTCTTATTTTACTCTCAATAATTTATTGCAGATTAATCAAATATGCCTAGAATTAAAAAAATTATACAACTAACATTTTTTCCCCTTTTGTAAGAAACTCTTTTATTAGGTTAATACCTAACATTATGTAGGATATTTTATGTTATGAATACTGAATGTTTTAAATCATTCTCGGGGACTTATCAATTTAAGAAGCAAGATAACTACACAGGAAATATATTTTACAGTTAGATCGAACCATTAAATCATTAATTGGGGTATTAGCTAATTGGATTAGTGGAATGGGTAAATTGAACAGAAAGATTAGTCCACTATGATTTCTTTACATAAAAATTAAATGCCTAAATGAAGCCCCTAAATTATCGACAGTATAATATGAGCTTTGACTCATTAGACAAGCCAAAATTTTTCATGTAGTTCTCTTAATCCAAGCATGAGTTAGGAATTATTTCAGATGATAGATCTTGTTTTGGTGTGTTAAATCTAACAGATGGGAAAGTGATAGGTGCATTTTGTAGATCTGCTATTGGAAACGTATTTGTAAACACATAGATAGTTCAAGAATTCGCTTACATTAATTTTGTTAAATATTTATCAGCGGAATGAGTTAGTAGAACTTATGTAATAAGATTTGACATGGTAAATATAGATTCTCTATTAATTATAAATATTTTTAGTTTCGAAAAGACATGAATGTATTTGCTTTAATTTTTCCCTCAGGAATTAGCTACGGTATAGTTTAGAGTGAATATAGCAAGATCTTAAATCTAATAACATTCAGGCTACTTGAGCTTAAACAAAATAGCAATAATCTTATTGTAAAAATGGAATTACCAGAACTTATACCAAAATAATACTTTATGCTAAAAGTGGATGAATAGAAACATTATATCATTACTACTTACTAAATCTCTAAACAAATAGGACAGAAAATCTATGACTATGAAATTATATCTGGACTTCTCATGCCTGAGTAATACCTTTTCATTAGTTTATATCAGTAAGAGAGTATTGAAAGGAAATAGACAAATCTAAAATTGATAATGAATTTTGTGTTTATTCACGAAGATAAGCTAGACTTGTAAAACTTTTACCTAGAACCTTTGTAAAATAAATTAGCAGTTGCAATAAAATCTCCACTTAAAGTAGAATTGCGCTATTCAATTTTCACTGTTTTAGATTACTAAAAATAAGGTTTAATCTCGCAAGTTTTTAGGAAAATATACTCTGCTTCTAATGGATATCTTTTTTTATTCCAGCAATTTCATTATTAAAATCTCTATGAAGGGGTCTTATGTGGCTATATAAAAGGAAAATAATTCTCGTATTACACAGCAATATCAATTTAATACCCCTACCCTTACTATTTCGATTTAGCTTCATAGCAATAAACAACTGTTGATATAAATTCTGTAGAGATTATTGAGTTTGGTTAAACCATAGAAGCTTTATTAAGTAACTAAAATTAATTTATTCCTATTCCATATTATTTTGGGTTAAAAGATCAGACCGTTATAAACGACACTTATTAGCTAATATAAAATACTAACAGGACTCTTCAGACTTAACAAATAAATGAGATATTCTAATATTAAATTGGTAATCCTGCTTTATTCATTAGGTTTTAGCCTTGTATCTATGATTAACAATGCTCTGATACCGCCATTACCACCACATTATCTGCTGTGAATTAAAATGAGTTACCCGAAATATTTAAGTTCATAGATGAATAACTTTTGCTAATTGTTTTATCCGATAAAAATTCACTTTCTGGAAATTATCAACTAACTCTCACTTGCAGTCTATAAGATGAATTCTAGAATTCTACAAGTTTTAAAATTATTATAACTTAATAAAATGAAAGCAAAAAATACTGACCCAACTTTCCACCATAATTTTATTCTAATCCTAAGAATATAACTTTGATGGCTGGTAGTAAGCTAAAGTTACGATTGCCAGATTATTTTGACCCAAATCCATAAGATAAAGTTGCCATCAGAGTTTAAACATTAAACAAGTACCCCTAGTTCTTTTGAATGCTTGATGAGAATTAATTAGAGGTTAATGCTGGGATAAATGAATTAAGAACATTTAGGATTCTTATTACATTACAAGATGACAATAAAAAGCCATTGAAAACAGAATATTTGATATATGCTACTTTCATACCTAATGATGAAGGATAAATCAATAACACTAACATTAAAAACTTGAATATATCAAAAATTGATATTAGATAAGCTTTCGGTTTAGATGACTAAATTAGTTTCAGCAAGATATCTCCTTTAGGCATAATCCAATTTAAATTCGAAAAATCAATAAATTAAACTATGGGCAAAACTTAACTTTTGCTCCTTATTTAAAATGCAATAGAAATTTCAACTGATAATCCGTAAATTTCAATTACTTGGAAAATTATTGATATTAGACATAATCTCATAGAAATTCAGTTAATTTTCTCTAATACGTTACTGATATCTAATTAAGATGTAAAATTTCCTATAGATTCATTAAATTATAGCCATCAGTAGAGATATAAATCTACCTTAAAAATCCAAGCTTATTTATATTTAAGACCATCAGTCCAGGCTACATTTCAATCCCACTATCAATTCAAATAAATCAAAAAGACTATGATATCATCTTAGGACTCGCCAAATTTTTTAACTCTACAATGTAATCCCTAGTAATTTCTTAAATTGGCATACAAATCCTAACTTCATAGTCATTTTAGTTGATATGGGCTATAGTAAATTCTTAGTAATTAATTTCTATTACACCCTTACTTTAAATATAACCTCCTGCCAATTTGCATTACTTTTTACAGCTAGTTGAAGGGTCTTTAAGATTTGATTTTTTTTACACAGACATTATAGTGAGAAAATTTTACAACTTAGATGATATAGATGATTAACCCTATAATAATTGATTTATGAATTTCGGATATGAATCAAGATTACTTCTGCTGAATATGTCTATTAATATTGCCTTTGTTATTTTTATACCTATTTTGATAATAATAGCAAAGATTCTTATCATTATTGTGAAAAAGGTATTTTTAAAGAATTATAAGAAAAATAGTCTTATAATGTTGAAAGTTTTTAAGAGATTTAGAAACATTATGATTTATAAATTTCCACTAAGATTAATGACAGAATAATACATAAATTTGCTGATCACTATATTTCTAAATTTATCTGATTTGAATTTTTCAGGACGATTACCTGGAATTATCTTTTCTTCTCTTGTAACTATAATTTTTATGGTAAGTTTATGTTTTTTAAAAGATTTAGACAATCGTTACTTTAATACCCATTTGGCTTACAGTATATGTGATCACTTAGAAAAATTCAAAAATATATTAAAATCGATGGATTAGAACTTTAGTATAAGAATTTAAAAAAGGTAAAAAATAAGCTTTGCTGTATTACTCTTACTTTTTCATGAGGAGATATGTTCTTGTTTTGTCAATATTCTTTTTAGATTAGTACTTTGTAATTTAATGGCTTATCTTCATTGGAAGTTCAATGGCTCAATTTGTTTATCTAGTTGTCATAATGCCTCATCAGAGTAAAATTAGGAATTATATAGGGATATTAAATGAAACATATGTTCTATTTTATGGCCTATTAATGATACTACAAAGTGATTATATTTTAGATCCCATAATTAGGTATAATATTGGTTGGATTATATTAACTGCAATATTCTTGGTATCCTTAGTTAACATTATTTTTATCATTAGAGAAGCAATACCTATCATTAAAAGGTATTTAATTAGAGTAAAGAGATATTTGGGTTAACGTAGAAAAAGAAGGAATATTGTTAAAATTTCATAAGATCAAAATGTAAACAATACTTTAGCTGGATTTCTCAATAAATAAACAGGAATATTTAATCAAGATAATTTTGATATTTTTAAATTAGATCAACTAAGTTAGTAGTAATTAGATCAAGATTTGAGGACTAAATAATTCCAAAAGTTAAATAAAAATTAGAGTATCGAAGATAAAACAACCAATTTGAGGAATTTTACTGATGATTTAATTATTGAAGACTTTAAAGAATCAGATTATGATTTTACTGATAATGAGGAGCAGAAATATGATTCCAATCAACCTGAGAATGGCAATTATGTTGACTTTAATCAAAATTTAATGAAAAATAATGCTCTTGAATGCTACAATAGCAAACTTATATTTAACGATTTAATAAATGCCTGAATATTTATGATTTTGAGGCAATTAATTGATGATTAATTCTACATATTCAATAATTTCACGAAATAGTCTTCAAGGGGTTTTGGGGTTTTGGGGTTTTGGGG